TGATGGAAAGTTGGAGGAAGAGATCGACCGGCGAATTGGAGTAGCCAGTGGCGTTCTGAGTGCACTTTCCCAATCCGTTATTACTAAAGCAGAGCTCAATCTGAGAACTGAGCTCTCGGTATTCAAGTCGATCTTTATCCCAATGCTTACATGTTGTCAAGAGTCGTGGACCATCACTGAAATGCTTCGAACCTCGTTACTAGCTGCTGAAATGGGCTTTGTGAGACGAGTCGCTTTCTTTACGCGTCTCGACGTTGTGCGGAATATTGACTTCTAGGAGATCCTTGGTGTACAGCCTCTGCTTCTTCAGACTGAATAGTCACAGCTGCGATGGTTTGGGAGCGTGTTGCGAGTGCATCCAGAAAGGAAGACTCAGCAACTGTTTCTTATCCAATCGACCGCTAAAAGATCCAGGGGACGGCTATGATGATCCTGGTGTAAATATATGGGAGCAGTCTTTTCCAAATTTCTGCTGTCTTCTGATGAAGTCCAGACTCTGGTATAGGATCGTGAACGTTGGAAGCACTCTCTGACTCGTTTGCCTCCACAACCCGAAAGGAGAAGCGGTCAAAGTAGATGATGATATCTGTTTTATAGAATTGATGCTCTGAATGCCTATAATGTCATTTTATTAGATTCTCGGTATCACGTAATCGAATCTGCTGCTTCCTAGTAATCTCAGTTTCACTACATGGTTTCAGCCGATGAGTCTGTTGCCGTTCGTCCTATAGTAGCATTGTGCCCTGATGATACTCTCGAAGTATATGGAAAGACATAGGCAATTAAGTTTTATCAAGTTTGTTTAGTGTTCATATTGATGATTAAGCAATATTTAAGTTCAAACAGCGAGCCGAGAATCGAAAGCATAAAATCTTGTTTCTTTAACCATGTTCACCAAATTCCCTGCACGAAAATTTATTATATGTTTGTGACTGTTTAGAAGCAACTGGCGATGTAGTCGCTGTTTCAGCGCAGGAGTTGAGGAGCCAACTTCCCGTAGACTGCGACAAAAGCCCCTGTCCAGCGACACGTCCAAAAGTAACGTTCAGCTGCTGTGTACATATTTCTATTATTGGTGTTTTTTAGAGTTGCTTTTTCACCGGGAAACGCTGTGCAGCGAATTGTCAGACAACGAAATATCGTCTGATTCGGTCACCGAATCAGACCCCGAAGAGTTCGGCAAAAGGAGCACTAGGTATGTAAAGACAGTAGCACTATATATGGCGATGACAGATATTTTGTATTTCGCAGACTTAGGGAGCCAAATAGGTCCGTCAACAAGTGTGACAAATAAGCTAATTTTTAATATGCATGGAATAGGATTTGGTGCAAATGAATATTTGAAGCTTAGGCTCTAATTTCCTTTTTGCAGATCTGTCTAGGAGAAAAGTTTTGCAATTGAAAGATAGCTCGTAATGCTTCGAAGCCCCGTTTATATTCATTCTTAACGAAAGCACTGTATCATCGTTTCATTATATTTTATACTGCTGACAGGGTAGTGATTCGTGGACTGTTCTAGAAGAATGACTGTGCTTGATGGAGAAAATGAAAAGTAGAACATTATAGTCAACATTTGGTTTTTAGAAAGCTCGAAACTTGATCTCCACACCAGAGTTTGTCAAAGCGCTTGCCCACGGCCATTCTTGGCGCCCTATGGGTCTTCAATCAAGAATTGTTTCCCCTTCTTTCCTGGAAGCATTCCTAAATTGTGCCCAAGCCGTCACAACTCTGACTTAGATTAAAGAATCACCAGCTTTACACTAAATCTTTTTTTCGGGCTTAAAAATAGCAAGTAGGACTACCGTGCTGACTGGTATCTTGATCCTGTTCGCTTGGATTTTCCGTAGCATTCGCCGTGCTACTGTGCCCCCATTTGCCGAAAGGAGTGAAGTTGGTTCCATCGTGATCTTTCGGGGCCTGCCGCAGTTCCCCACCAACGCGTGTGGCCCTTGGTATCCTGGGTGACAACCGATCCAGGATTGCGTTCTATGGACTATGGACTCGACACCATTAAGATTCAGATGACTAGGTTTTATGAGACAATTCACCAGTTTCCTCTGGCCTCTTCCTTTCTGCACCGTCCTTGAAACCGGCAGTTGCGAGTATAATTTGAACTTTTTCTACTTTGAAAATAGTTTTTATTTATGCGCACATGATTAGATTGCTTATCATCTTAACTCATCTGATAAGAGTTTTTTTCCATAGGTAAATTTTTCAACTTTTTTGGTATTTTTGTTTGCTTTGAGTAGTAATTACTGGCACTTTTTTCTGTTTTGTACAATTGTGACTCATTTTCGATGAATAGAAAACTTCATTTTTAGAAGGTCACGTTCAACGATGCCTTCGGAAAACGAAGAAGATCACGTCAGCAAGGTAATGCATTTAGTTAGTAAACATATTGAATCCACTGAACCCTATTTTTTTCAAAATTTATGAATAAATTTTATTTACAGTAGAGCGTAGATAACCCGGACTAACCGTGGCTTTGCGACTAACCCCGACTAACCCTGTCCGGATTAGCGACTTATCCTGATTTTCGAATTCCATAGCAAACCTGATATCTTCAGATCAGTAAATGAAATATACATAAATGTAAAAGTATCAATATAACTTACACTATCTATTTTATTGAAAAACTAGAAGTAAACAAAAGAAGAAACTACATTAGTCAAAACCTACAATGTATGCCTACAGCACTGTATTTCAAATCACATACAGTATTGTAATTTATTTATGGAAAAAGTCTTTCACTGTTTTTTGAGCAAGATTTGTGCTTAGTTTTTTGGCACCCAAGTCTCTTGTTCTTCGTCGACAGGCAGTTGAGCTGTTGTGATCTACAATTGTTTTTCTAACAAACGCTGAGCAGTTTCCAAAGCATTAAATGCGTCAACGAGGGTCAGCCCCTCAAATTTTTCGTTGTCGACGTCTTCAGCGTCGTCATGGTCTCCAGAGGTCTCGGTATTGGTTACAGCGTTAACAGTCTCCTCATCATTCAGGACCTGGTAGCCGAGGTCAATTTTTTTCGATCTCTTCGTCTTTTTTACATTCTTCAAAAACTGGTATTGAGTCTAAAACTGCCATAACTTCTTCCAAGACTGAAGTCGCTTCTTCTTCTTCGCGTTCAGGTTTCGCGTTAATTTTCTTGCCCTTCCTTTTTTTAGGCTACTGTTTTCTCTATCCACTTTCCAATTTTTTTGCGGCAGGCCATCCAAGGCTCCTGCAGGCATGTCACAATACAGTTTTTGAGGTTCAGTGCTTCTGTGAAAGCCCCAACACTTTCTTCATCTTGTTGTGTCAGCAGCATGGGACGCTAAAGGTTTTTCTGTTCATTTGTTTTATTTTCTCAATGATTCCTTGATCGATAGGCTGTAGTAATGCTGTTAAGTGGTGAAGCAAGAACTGTACTTGAAAATCGTCGTCAGTAGCGTTCAGAGTTTCAACTGGAGGATGTGTCTAAACGTTGTCAATGATCTAAGGCACTTTCCCGTTTTGCCTTCCTTTTCGTTGTGTTTCTTGACGCCTAGTACAAATTCATTCACACGCCGGTCCCTCATGATTCAGCATTCATCCAGGAACTTATATGCAGTTTTTAACACGCAAGCAGGCACCTTAACATTTTTGAAGCATGAGGGTTTTTGACCTTTAACAGTGATGAATGGGTTCCACCTGCATTACTACACACCATTGCAGTTATTTTCTCTTTATTTACTTTGTAACCTGGTGCTGATTGCTCTCGAGAAGCTAGTGACTCTCGTGGTAAGGCCCACCAGTTTACACCAGTTTTCATCAGCGTTGTATACGTCTTTTTTTGTATCCTTTTTCTCTAACCATCGCCGGAAACCTTTTTTTCTATGTCCCCGCAGCGTTTAAATCGTTGTATAATTTTTCCCCATGAATTTCGAGTTTTCTTATGCTATGTCTTAGTTTAAAACTTTTAGCCATCCGGAACTAGCCTTGAAATCTGCTGGGCCGCTCAGTTTTTCATTAAATTTGAGGGTATTTTCACAACTAGAGGGCCTAATAACAGTTCATTTAGATTTCTTTGTGTAAGCCACACATATATGGCATCTTTTAAAGCTGAATTATTGACCACATGAAATGTTTTACGTTTTGATCCCTCCTGAGAGTTAAACTTTAATGAATACGCTAATAAGTTGCCTTTCTTTCTCTTCAAATCGCTTATGGTTGATGCTCCCATTCCATGCATTCTTGCCAAAGATGCACCATTTTCAACTTTTGACATTTTCTCTAAAATTTCTATTTTTTCTCGATTATTAAAAAGTAGTTTCTTCTTCCATTTCAGTCCAGAAAGTACATATAAAAGTCCTATGTCCTTGGCTGTACAAGAACAGTATCAGAATAGCAGCCAACACAATGCACGGTCTGTTCATTAACTGAACTTAAAAACACTGACAGTCTCACTTTCGCCATTGGAAGGAGTTAATGACCAATGTGTCAGTTCGTCCCTCCCTCATCTCACTCGCTCGTGTGTACCTTAGGTGGTTGAATCCAAATGCAAATGGGGGAGTAAGAAGAGATGCAGATACGTTCACTTAAAACCTCGTTGCTATTCTCACTGCGCAGAAAATTTTTTTCTGATTAGGCGACCTGGATTTTCGACGCTTCGGATTATTGACGTCCGGATTATCGTCGCTTCGCTGTATTCTTAGAATACACAAACAAAAATTTATCCGGATTACTTTGAAATGCGTTAGTAAATCAGATTAATTTTCAAGGTTGAGCACAGCAATTTGTTTCTCTACTCGATTAAATTCTAAAGAAATTATGTTTAAAAAATCCAGATTGAAACGGCGTAAATGCACTATGTAAAGAAAGAAAAATCTATTTCTCACTTTTTGCCACCAGCTCTATTGCATCTCCCCTTTATTTCTTAACGTCTATGAGGGACCATTTAAGCAGGCAACGACTAAATGGTATTTATAGAAAGCTACACCAGAACACCGAGGTTTTATTTTGTCACTTGTAAGGAAATTAACCTAATCACTTCTTCATCAATGTATTTAATGCATTGCATGAAGTTTT